AGCTCAAGAAAGAAGTGTGGAGTAAAGCCAGACAATGTGTAGTAAGTCCCAGGTTGCTAAGCAGTGGTCTGTGGGCCAAATGCACACTAGTAATGGGTTTCATTTGACCAGGGCAATTTTTTAAAATAGACATTATTTTTCAGAGTAGTTTCACATTCCCAGAAATATTTAGCAGATGGTACAGAGAGTTTCCCCTCTACCCCTTTCCCCCACATATGCACAGCCTCCCCTGCATCACTATCTCCCAGCAGAAGGGTGCACTTGTTACAGTCAGTGAGCCCACACTAATACACCATCACCGCCCGAAGTCCACACTTTACATGAGGGTTCATTCTTGGCATCGTACCTTCAATGGGTTTTGAGAAATTGATAATGATATGTATCCGCCATTATAGTATCATACAGAATAGTTTCATTACCCTAAATATCCTCTGTGCAATCTTTTCAATAAATGGACAACAATGGAAAGTTGGGGGATTTGTCCTACAAACCAACTATTTCAACTTCTGCCAAAAGATGAGACATCTGGTAACCCTGATCAGATATTCTCCAAAGGCAAGGGCTGGCTGGAGCTGAACAGGGGCTGCACCTTTTGGGCAGGTGGGCTCTTATACTCTGCCCCGCTTCACTCATCTTTGCTCTCTCCTGCCCCCAAGTCATCTTCGTTGGCTCCTTTCATCTTCGGTAGATGACGGTTGAAACAGGGAGATGAGGGTGTGAGGAGAGAAAGCAGCCAAGGATGGATCCTTCAGGAACGCCGAGGATGATAGATGCAGAGGCCAGGGCAAGCGCAGCGGCAGGTCTGCGCTCCGCGGCCCTCCCGGCCCAGAGCCCTTTCCTCGGTTTCCCTAACAATCGGCTGGTCTTGCTGCTTCATCAAGAATCCAGTCCAGGCTGATTTTGTACTTGGAACTCCTTTCCACAATGCTTTTATTCCTCTTTGCCTTTCCTGGCAGAAGGTTATTGGAAACTGGAAATTAAAAGTATCTCAGTTCTTCCAATTCATTGTGGTGAAGTACTTGGATTGGACAGTAAAAGTGAATGAGATAGTGAGTCTTGAGGCATTTCACCAAAATGATTAATTACCAAAATGTTGGAGAACCATGCTTTGTCGTATAGAGTAAAAAATGACCTGGATTAATTACAATTACTCTTTGTAAGGTCCTATGGGTAGTTTCCTCATATCCTAGTAATAGTAATATGTAACAGATGGATAGCACTTTAGAATTTAAAAGTGCTTCTTAACATACATTATTCTAAACTCACCACTCTCTCATGACATAGGTGTCAAGCTTCCTTTTGTATGGTAGTTCCATTTCAAAACTATTTATATTAACATAGATTCTGGAGATTCCGGATTCTATTTACTGTACCCTTGCAAAGGCCAGCATAAAACTCATGCCAACTGATGTTGACACTAGCAAGTCAACGTTGGAAGGTATTTAAAAAACAGGAAAAGCCTGTGGAAAATGTCTTGGCATAGCAACTTTTGAGTGAGATGTAATAAATGCTGGTTCTGAGGACAATGAACAATTTGAACTATCTCAGGTGTGATGCTGAGAAGGAAAATGAAATCTCCATTCACTCAATAATAATAGAAGGCCTATATTCCAGGTACTCTGTTAGGTACTGAGACTGTGAAATTGCTCAGACCTTGCCTACTCTTAACCTTGGAGGGTCTACAGTTGAAGATCATGAAATGAAATGGAGAGATTTATTTTCAAAAGCTTCCAATAATTTTACTTCTCTGAGTTAACTTTTTTTTCCCTATTGTGGATCTTAAGCTTAAGCTACAGTTTCATCTTTTATGTCCCTATATAATAACCCAATGCATTGTCCTTGATGTAGGAATATATAAGGGTCTGGGGGAAAAGTAGGTAAGGGTCTATAACTATGATGTGGTGAGCCCCTAGGAGCTTGTACTAATTTATTCACCTTTCTATGAAATCTACCACAAAGGACTTCATGGAGCCTCCAAGAAGGACCCATAGAAGAAATCCCATAAAAGCAAAGACCCTTGGCTAATGTCCCCTAACCTCTCAATAGAAAGCAATTTATGGACTCGTATTCAGCTGGGATCATTACCTAAGAGGACCAGGAAGACAACAGTAAGGAAACAGAAAGGAAATTGTGAAAAGGAAGAGGGACAGAAATCAAAGACTATTTTCATCCTCCACTGGGTCTTGGGTCCCCCTGAATCAGTATCCTTGGGGTTGTTTCTCTTGAGAGGTGATTTTATTCTGCCAATCTTCCAACAGTCAAGGGCATGTAAGGTGCTGTGGGTAGGTGCGTGCATGTGCACAGTCAGGCTGCTGCTGTGAACTTGGGTGCTGCCTGCGACTAAAGAGACCTTCCACCTACCACCTACACTGAATGTTACAGACCTACCCACCACTCAGGGACGGAAACTCTCAAGTGTCCCTGATATCAGCACTTCACTCCCCTCCTCACCCTCGCCAAACAGCCCCGTAGAAGGTTTCCTGGGAATGGCACGCCAGCAGGAAAAGCTTGTTGAACAGCCAGTCTGTAGACATTCAAACGTCCCAGTGCCAGCCCTTTGCCCCAAGATCTTCTGCTATGGAAACTACGTATAGAAGGAATAGAAAACAGGAGCTTGTTTCTGCCTTTTTTTTCTTTCCCTCATTTTTAAAACACTGTTAACCCTCAAAGAGAGTTGGTCAAAGTGTTATGATTACTCAACAGCATTCTTGCCATATTCACGGGAGGAAATTATCTCATTTTGTTTTTAATGGCAAGCGTGTGTTTTTGAGGATCTTTTCTTTCATCATAATTATTGCACAAATTACTCCAACAGCTGATACTCAAGGCCTGTCAGAGTCCAACAGCAGGTAATAAAACTGAATTAGGTGAGAGGCTCTGAAAGTGCCACCCCTATGGACTTCCCTCCTGTCTTCCACTGCTAAATATTCCTTTGGGGTTCATCTAGTTTCCCACCCTTGTTCCACGTGCATTCTACCCTCGCCATTTTTGTCAGGTCTACCTAGTGTTGTGTTCTGTCTGTGATTGTTTACATTTTGTTGTCCTTTTTCATATTTATTCTTAAATTAACTCACGCCTTATTCTTATTTTAAGAAGAAACTTTTGGAAGCAACCTAAATGTCTGTTGCAGGATAGACAAAGAAATTGTGGTATACATACACACACACACACACACACACACAAATATTATTCAGCCATAAAAAAAAGAAGGAAATCTTGTCATTTGGGACCACATGGATGGCCCCTGAAGGCTTTATGCTAAGTAAAATAAGTCAGAGAAAGACAAATAGTGTATGATCTCACTTATAGGTGGAATTGAAAACAAAAACAAGCTAAATTCATAGATGCAGTGAACAGATTGGTGGTTGCCAGAGGGAGGGGGTTGGGGGAAGGTGAAATGGGTAAAGGGGATCAAAAGAAACAAACTTCCAGTTACAAAACAAGTAAGTCCTGAGATGTCATGTACAGTATGGTGACTATAGGTAATAACACTGTGTTGTATATTTGAAAGTTGCTATAAGAGTAAATCTTAAAAGTTCTCATCACAAGAAAAAAATTGCAGTTCTCTGTGGTGATGGATGTCAACTAGCGTTATTGTGGTGATTATTTTGCAATATTTGCAAATACTGAATCATTATCTTGTACACCTGACACTAATATACTGTTGTATGTCAGTTGTATCTTGATAGAAAACATACAAAGTCTGCAACTTACTCTTAGATGGTTCAGTAATAAAATAAGTATGTATGTATGTGCAGAATAAAAAAGTGAGAAAACAATATAATATGTACACTATGTTATCCTAATAAAATGATGATATTCTAGATGGCATCTTGACCTAGACAGGTTAAATTTGGTGTTTAGGAGGAGTTAAAGGCTGGTAACCAGCAAACTGAGACTTTCTCCTTAAGAAGGATTGAAGGATTGAAAGAGACTTGAAATGAGACTTTATTACTATGTGCACCTTTAGTTGGTGCCCTGCCACATACCACCTTAAAGTGTTCCTTGCATCCCACAGTGTGAAAAGCACTAGGTCATGATGCTAGTGCCTCCTACTTAAATACAGATCTTACCCAGAGAGGCTACGCTTGAATCTATGAGGTTTCTGTAAGGACTGAATCAGATAACAAAAGTGGAAACATCTTGGATAGTGTGGCCCATAATGATCTTGCGATGAATGCTCGCTGACTTTTTATGTGCAAGCTATGAAGCACTATGTAAATAAGCGCTATGTTAATTGATGAAATGATAGTCTGTGATGCAGCTTAGCAGGTGGATCTTGGAGAGGGAAGGAAGTGGCCCTGATTGACTCAGGAAATCCCTAGGAAACTAGATGTGAATTTGAAGAGTCAGAAATGAACAAAAGAGGAAGCACAGAAAAGGTCAGATTCACCACCCATTCCAGTTTGGTCCAGAACTGCCTCTGAGCTCTATGCCACCAAAAGCAAACTTCATTTTGGAAAAATCTTTGGCATCAGTAACTTTCAGAGTTGTTTTTACTCCCCTGGTAATTTTTATTGCATCAAATAGGGAAGCCAATACTAAATAAACAGGAAATCTTCTTCTAATCATTCTTCAAGTATAGTAGGAATACTATGATCACCTATTCATGTGTCCAAAATATTTTCTTCATATCTAATAAATCAGTGTAGAAAAGGAATTTCGTGACTTAGATATGTCAGGCCAACAGAATGTGATCTTAATAATATTTTACCTTGATAAAATACATTGGAATTTGGGAAGCATTTTCACATATTATACCTTATTTAATCCTTACTGCAGACCTTTGAAAATATCCAAAGGCTCTTTTCATGTTCATGAACATTTGTTTGTATAGCATAGGTATGCATGTTATGCTCCTAGAAATCCTAGTACTTACCTTTTTGTTTTTGCTGCAATTTGAGGGGAAATTATAAGAAACATTGTATATCAATTTTCCCATCTGCAATCTGGGGAACTGCAATGTTCATATAAATAAACTACTCAAGATAATTCCAGTCTGTGAATGTTTTATAAGGTAATTTATCGAAATGAGAGCCAAATTTGGAATTGTTCACTGGGCTATGCAGACTGATTCCGTGTAAGCACATCTTTTCATGTGCTTGTTGGCCTGGCACCCCAGCCAGGACTCTGCAGATGGGAAAGATAACTCAGTGATCTCAGCCGGGCAGCACCAGCCATGCCAGGTCATACAATCCACAGCTTTATGGCCAGGACTGCAGAAGCATGGCTTCTGCTCCTGTGAAGGGAGAAAGGACAAGCAGCTGAGCAGATTAGAAAGTTAGAAAAGAAACAGCCTCTGTATTACCTGAAATCGCCCCAGCTTTGGCTTGTCCAAAAACTATTTTCCCTTGTAAAGTCACTTTGTAAGCATTGACCATACCAGAATAATCAGCATTCCTTGTGGCTGGCTGAAGGGTGAGTCAGGATTCTAAATTCTAGCTGCAGTGCTGGGGAAAATGGAAACACACAGTGAATGAGTACATCATGATGTCAGCAGTTTCCAAACACTGGTCAAAATGCTGAAACATGGTTTTGTGATGCAATAAATGCATCTGAATGCCCCCCCAAAATGAGGCAAAGGGTTTGCTAAAAACAAGGCATGGCATTTACCTTCAAGCAGGCAGAAGGTTTGATAAGCTCTGCCTAGCCTCCACCAGTCACCATCACTGCATGCTGCTGGAATTTGATAGATGCACAGGAAATGCTACAAAGTGGGGGGAGGGGTGCAACAGGCTCCCCAAACTCAATGTGGGTAGCCCTAAATGACATTCCCTAAATGAAACCCCTCTGTACCTTCATCAGCGATCCAAATCCAAGTTTCAGGAATTCTTTATCAGTTCCTAAACTTTACATCACATTGAGAGACAAGGATTGCCAAAATGTCAACGCATATAATTTTGTGTAACTGACAAAGGATTGGTAGCCAGAACATATAAAGAACTCTTCCAAATCAGGAAGAAAAAGGCAAACAATGAAATAGAAAAAAATGAACAAAATGGGCCCTTATCAAAATAGGAAACTTGAACAGCTTACAAATATGTGAAGAGATGTTCAATCTCACTCATAATGTGGGAATTGCTCATTGAAAAGATGAGATAATGAGTGAAGACTTATGTTCACACAAAAAGTTGTACATGAATGTTCATAGCAGCTTTAATTATAATAGTAAAAAATTGGAAACAGCATAGGGGTCCCTTCCACGTGTGTTGGCTAAACTGTGGTCCATCCCTACCATGGAATACTACTCAGCAATAAAGGAACAAGCCACTGATACATGAAACAACTCAGATGACTCTCTAGGGAAGTATGCTGAGAGAAAAAAGCCAATTCTAAAAGGTTACATACTGCATAATTTCATTTACCTAACATTTTTGAAAAGACAACATTTTGGAAAAGGAGACTAGGGATTAGGGAAAGAAATAGGACTAGGGGTGAGGACCATTGAAGGAGATGTCAGCTGTATCTGTAATATTTTAATTTTCTAAAAGCCATTCTTTTGCCGGGTATAAACTCAAATGTTTTTCTTTTGTAGTTACAATTCATAACTGAAAGATATTTTCCTAGTCTCAAGCTAATATTTCTTAAAATGAAGTCTGAGTGAATTTCTTGAGATTTAGAAATTGATCATTGATTCATCCTTGCCAAACTCATAAGCCACTACTGTATAAACTACTGGCCGTTTGTGTTAATGTCCAAGGAAAAGGGCTGGAGACACAGGGAACAAATGTATAGTACTAGCTTTAGGCTCCCCTTTTCTTACCACTACTGCAATTAATTGAGTTAATCAGGTCACAAGCATAGCCCACATGACAGCCCCTTATGAGATGTGGGTGGCATACTGGTTTAGTTCATGCTGAAAACCAGTTCATTTTGGGACTTATAGGGACTCTGTATAATTCTGCAGGTGTCTTTTTCTCATTTCAAATGAGGGGATTGGACCAAATACTCTGAGATTAGACCAAATAATTTTCTAGATCTTAGGTTCTAATTCACCCATTTTTTTTCAATTAAACCTTTAAAAATCAATTCTATTACCTTTGTAGATTATGAGAGCTATATGATCAAAGTTTTCATGTTATGATGCTTTCTCAAAGAACAACTTAAGAGACATTATCTAAAAAACTATTTGGAAACAATTTAAACACACCATATTTGGCTATTCACTACCAATTTCAAAGGTCAAGTAAATAATGTAGATTCTTGATATGTTTTTTATGAATGCATCTACTTTTTCTTCACTTTTTTATTGGAGTATCATTGACATACACTCTTATATTGGTTTCAAATATAGAACACAGTAGTTCAACAGTTACCCATATTATTAAATCCTCACCCCCACTATTGTAGTTACTATCTGTCAACATAGAAAGATGTTAATTTCATTGGCTATATTCTCCATGCTGTACTACCATCCCTGTGACCAACTTATATTATGATTGAAAATTTTTGTGCCTCGTTATCCCCCTCACCTTCCCCATCCATCCATCCTAACCCCTCCCCTATGGTAACCAGCCTATGAGTCTGCTGTTGTTTTGTTTTGATATTCCATGAATAAGTGAAATAATATGGTATTTGCCTTTCTCCATCTGGCTAATTTCACTCAACATAATACCCTCTTGGTCCATCCATGTTGTCACAAATGGCAGAAATTCTTTCTTTTCTATGGCTGAATAATGTTTAATTGTGTGTATGTACCACATCTTTATCCATTCAACTATTGATGTACCCTCTGGTTGCTTCCATATTTTGGCTATTGTATATAATGTGGTGCTAAACATAGGGGTGCATATATTTTTTCAAATCAGGGATTTTGTTTTCTTTGGGTAAATTCCTAGAAGTGGAATTACTGGGTCATATGGTATTTTTATTTTTAGTTTTTTGAGGCACCTCCACACTGCTTTCTATAGTGGCTGCACCAACTTACATTCCCACTGACCAGAGGAGGAGGGCTCCCGTTTCTCCACATCCTTGTCAACACTTGTTATTTCTTGTCTTTTGGGTGGTGGCCATTCTAACTGGTATGAGGTGATATCTCATTGAAGTTTGATTTGTATTTCCCTGATGATTAGCAAGCATCTTTTCATGTGCTTGTTGGCTATCTGTTATTTCTTTGGAAAAATGTCTGTTCCGGTCCTCTGCCCATTTTTTGAGAGTTATTTGTTTTTTGGTGTTAAGGCGTTTGAGTTCTCTATATATTTTGGATGTTAACCCCTTATTGGATAAATAGTTTCTGAATATATTCTCCCATATTGTAGGATGCTTTTTTTGTTCTGTTAATGGTATCCTTTGCTATGCAAAAGCTTTTTAGTTTCATGTAGTCCCACTTGTTCATTTTTTATTTTGTTTCCCTTGCCTGAGATGTGTCCAGAAAATAACTGCTCATGCTTATGTTCAGGAGAGTTTTGCCTAAGTTTTCTTCTAAGAGGTTTATGGTTTCATGTCTCATATTTAGGTCCTTAATCTATTTTGAGTTTACTTTTTGTGTATGGAGTTAGACACTGGAGTTAGTCCAGTTTTCCCAACACCAGTTATTGAAGACACTTTTTCTCATTGTACATTCATGGCTCCTTTATATTAACTGACCATATATGTGTGGGTTTGCATCTACTTTTCTTTTAAGGAAAAAAAAGGTGGGCAGTTTTATTTTGAAATTTTTAAAACTATTTGCAAAGAAAGATTTTCTTTTATCAGTTAGTTTTCAGAAGTAGTTTTAATTTGAGATCACAGTGGAGGAAGCCAACTGAAGAAATGCTCATTAAATTATTAGTCAGTGTTTATATTTGCCTATTCGTCTGTTCACATTCTCTGCACTGTCACTTTAAGGAGTCAGTGGGAAATTGTGGAATTAGGACTCAGTAGCTACTGGGAGGCCAGAAGCTTTGTGTTTAAGCCCATGGGCTGCCTCTGTTAGAGTCATGTCTTCATTTACTCACTCTGACCTTTGGCAGACCACTTAGATCTGTTTCCTCATGGGGATAATAAAAATACTTATCTGATAAAGGGGTTTTGTGAAAACTTTCCAAGAGGCTATAAACAATGCTTGGCATATAGTAAACACTCAATAAATAATAATAATAATGGATAACACTTTAATAATGATTCCTCTATGCCAGGCACTGTTAATAAGAACTTTTTATATATCAACTATTAGCTAGTATTAGTATATCTGATTGCTATTTTAGGATTTAGCTTAAAAACTACATTTCTGCTTCAGAAGCAGAAGGGAGAGGTGAATATTTTCCTTATCCTTAGTTGCATAAGTTCCAGGTCAGGTCACAGAGACTATTTTCCTATTGGCACAGAAAACAAAACATGGAAGGGTTTGAAGAATATATAGTATATCATCTTCATTTAACAGCAGAATCTAAGGCATATGCTATGCAGTTGGGCATTTTAATGGAAATTAAGAGTTGGCAGAAAGTACGGCTCAACTGGAACTCCTTTTAAGGACTCCTGAATCATGCTGAATCATAACATCTTAGCTGGTCCTCTCTCAGGACACTGAATACTTTCTTAAGGCCCTTTTCATTCTGCAAGATCTTCAAGGGCAAGGTCTATGTCTTAACTAGTCACTATTGTAACCCCTGCAATGCTGAGCACAATAACTGGGTAAGACTGAATGCTAGCAGAGAGGAAAGAGAGAAAACACATATCCAGGGGAGGGAAATGTAATAGCAGCCTTTTCTTCAAATGTGGTTGGCAGTTTATCCTTTGAATGGGCTGGCTTTTTCCTTTCTTTTTTTCAAACCTCTCTAGTGAAATAGGTGCACCCAAAGGCATATCCAGGTAACAGGAGCTACCGTAATTAAATTCTATCATAGACCTCTGGAGACAGTAAAAATGCCTTATGATCAGTCTGACCCTATTGATAATAGTAATTACAAAAGCTGGATTTTAGGTAGAGAAGAGCCATTAGCTGTTACTACTCCCAGAGCCAAACAGCAAAGACCACATTATGTTTCTATTCCTTCTACTTAAATCTTTTAAAACATATAAAAGAACATTATGTCTAGTATCTATTTCACATCCACCCTCATTTTTTTTTAAATATTAGCTACAATTCACCCTTGGGTCTATAATGAATAGCAAACATTATAGCAAGCATTGTGGATGGAATGGTAAAACAAAAATCAAGTCAGAAGATATGAACTTATGGTTCCTATAGCAATAACTTGTCCTTGGGTCTGGTGTGGATGCACCCAGGGTGGACTTCCTAGTAGCCTCTGGCATTGTACTAACTCATGGTAGGGTTTAGGAAATTACTACTTAAGTGTCTGAGGTTATCGTAAGATATTGTAAAGATAAATCAGGAAGGGGAATATCTATAAGCTGTGTAAGCTTCTTGGTAATAAAACTATGAGTAAGTACAAAATACCATTCTATTATTGGTAACTCTGGTCTTATCACTCAATACATAAACTGGGCAATTCAATTTTACTAGAAATGGGGCCTTTTCATTCTCAAGTTAAAAATATTTTTACTTTAAATTGTCTTGGTTAAAAGAAGTTTAAAAAAAAAACACTGGGCCTTGAAATAGTCCACTCACTCTTTGATAAATGCTACCTTTGAGCACTTTGTTGAGCATAATTTGCTAAATAAACTACAATGATTAACTGAGCATAGTGATTGGAACTCAGGTTTCACGGCTGATTCTCAATACCTGCACTCTTATCCATTCTGCTCTTTTGCCTCCTTGCAAGCGTGATTTCAGAAGTCATACAGCCTTGGGACTGGGAGGATTCAATGAGATGGTACTAGTGGCAAAGGAACAGCTCAAAGCCTATACAGCCATCATTAGAACTAACACTACAAGGACTGTTCATTCCATTTTTAACATCTTAATGTATCTGTGCACTCGATGTTGAAGAGTAGGTCATTATAAAGCAATGAGAAGTGCACTCCTAGGATATACCAACATGGGTTGCATATTAAGCTCCCAGAGCGTATTAACCTTATTAGGAGACTACAGTAATCTCAGGGCCATAAAGCCCAAGAGACAGGGGACTCTTCCATTTTTTTCATATTTCTAATAAAAGCTGTTTCAAAGTGGTACACAAAACTCGAAAATCTTAGTTCACACTGAACAATTTAAATTGGTTTCATCTTGACAGAGTATCTATGCCTGTATATACAATCTCTTTTGGAAAAAACACCGAATCTAAACTAAAGGCCATTCCTGAATTTGATAGCCCAGGCCAGATGGCTCTCCTGGCGTTCCCTGCCACCCCTGAAGTCGCAGGGAATGTCATTCCTACACGTGCTGGACGGCCCCAAGGCGTGCTGTGAGGCAGAGGTCTCCGCGCCACCCTTCCCCATCCTTACAGCCTCCCCAGGGCAGGTCCCGTTCGGCATCAGGCACTTTTCTCTCTCGGCTGCTGGGGCTCAGTCCTGGAGGTGAAAGCCTCAAGGCCTTCCGGGCTCTGCCCAGGCGGACAACAAAGTCAAGACAAATCTCGGGGCCTGCGGCCTCCAGCCACCGCCACTTCCGTGACTTGGCAGCCACTTTTCCCCCCAAACGGAGATGAATCAGGAAACAGGGGTTGGCTCTGAAGTGCGCCCGAGCCAAGGGCCTAAGAAAGCACTTTGGAGTCCAAGAAGAGGGAGGAATTATCTCCTAGCCCACGCTAATCACAGCCACTCCACTGAGACCAACCCCCCGGCATCCCTCTGCCGGCTGCCGGGAGCGATCACCGAGGCCCGGACACCCAAACTCCCCACCCCGCTTCGGGCGGGGCCAGGAATAGGCGAGAAAGGCTGGACCCAAGCCGGGGTCCGAGCTTCCAGGTGCCACGGGCGGCGCGCGAGGCACGACGGTAAAAGCCGCGCTCCGGAAGAGGCCCGCCCCGCCCTACCCAGCGGGCGGCTCTGATTGGACTGCCGAGCCCTGAGCGCTGATTGGCCGCGTGGGCGAGGCGGAGGAGAGCCGTGCGCAGCGGCGTGTTGGGCCGTGTGCAGACCCGCGTGTGGCGCAGGCAAGGACCCTGAAAATAAACAGCAGCTACCTTGCGAGCCGCCTTCCCCGGGCCCGCGTCCGAGTCTTCCCCGCTGCGGACCCCCCTCAGACGCTGAAGGTGAGGAGCAGGAGTGGGGGCTAAGGGGCCGAGGGGAGCTGCGATGCGGGCCCTGGCCGGAGGGGAGCGAGTTGTGAGGCGGCGATGGCGGCCGCATTTGGCGGCCGCATTTGGCCTCCTCCGCTGCTGCGTCAGGCGGGAAGTCGGCTGCCACCGCCACCTCGGGCCCGGGTTTCGGACCCGCCGCAGCCGGGCGACCCTCCCGCCTTTCCTCCGTCCTGAGAAGCTGCGCCGCCGCTGGTCGGGGCCTCTCCCAGGGCCAAGGCCGCACCCCAGGCCGCAGCCTGACAGTAGAAGCGGCCCGGGCGCCCTTGGGACTGAGGCCCTGAGACTTCGAGGGCTGCGGAACGCGGGACGGAGCGTCGATGTGGCGAGGCCGTACGTTGGGGGGAAAGGACCCTGGTGCGAATGGAGGGGGGATGGGATCGAGTACTTAGGCCATGTGCTGACATACTGGGTCTGGCGGGCCATGTGCCAAAGGTTTTCGTGGGCTAAGGAAAGGGCCCTTAAAAAAGTTATTACGTTTTCGGTGGTGGGACACCCCGCTGGAGAGCCCTTGGAATTCATATTCTCCATACTTAACAGCTTCCCGATTCTCGACTTTTTATCGTAGTTCAAATACTAAGTTACTCATACATTGCAATTCGGAAGAGGCAGATGGGGTCCACTTTACCATGAATCAACACTAATAAAAATCCCATTATTAGGAAAAAGTATGAATTTGTCATACCTCCGAAGTCGTTAAGGGGCACCAATAGCCTTTGCACCATTTCTTGGATTAAGTGAACGAATACAATTTAAACTAAATACGAAACATGGATTAATGAGTCAGCCTCCATCTAGATATTCCAAAGGTGAAAATCTATTTTAGAACCACGTAGTCGACCGCATTTGCGTTTGGGTGTTGATTTTATTATGGGTAAGGTTTATGCTTGTTGCCACATGCTAGCCACATGGCCTCAGCCACAGGGCACTTCCAGAGGAAGTGAGTACATCTGGTCTTGGGGGGGGTCTTAGAAAAAGAAAGTACCAATAATCATCTGTGACGTCTTAGAAAAAGAAAGTACCAGTAATCATCTGTGACTTCAGATAGTGTGTTTCAGGGATTCTAAAGAAGGATCCACAGAAGTGGTAAAATACAGAAGTCGAGTCTGGATTAGTTTTTGTTTATTTTAAGGCAAAGGAGGATTAATTTTCATTCTCATCTTGCCGACAGATTACAAGTTTTTAAAAGTAGGCCCCTTTTCCTTTTGTTTGATACGACCCACTTTTAGAAAAATAAGTTTATTTCTGCATCTGTGAGTTGACCTTAATTTAAATTAGCAACTTTGTTTTTTGCTCAAGCTCCTTTTAAGTTGCAGGTGAAGTTCTCAGGGTCTAAAAAAGATGTAGGAACTCCGAGACTCTCCCCTCGCCCCATGTAAAGCAGTTATTGTCAAATGTTTCTTAAAAAAATTACTCTGATCAGGCTTAGTCAGACAACTTCAAAGTGCCACATATGTAGGTGCATGATGCTTTTTGTTTTTTGAGCCTGATTCTTGTCTACAAGGAGCTGTCTGTACTGGAATATACAAGGAGTAATTTATTAGTTTCCCAAGGGCTGAATGAAGTATTACATATTTTTTCCAAATTGCAACTCTCAGCAAGAGTTTAAAAAAAACAAACTGTGTACTTATGTACCTATGTATGTCACATTAGAAAACTTGGGTTTTTCTTAGCAACCAAAAGCCCACATTCCTTTTCCTTTTGAAAACGAGAGGTAATGTTTTTTCAGACATGGGGGTTTCTGTAAAATATTTTGATCAAGATCAGTGGAAGATTAAGGGGCCTATGTTACAATGGCATTTGAACATCTGGAACAGGCAAAGTGATATCTTTAAGGTATTATAAATAGGTTTTGTAATAATGGTTTTAGGACTCTTAGGATTCTTTTTACCTTTTTAAAAATCGAATAAAACTGTATGGTACGTACATGGGAAGGTACTAAATTTGTGCTTAAAAGCAGTAGAGCCACAGTTTGGCTAATTGGAATGGCTGAACAGTTGGCTAAATACTTGACCAGAAGAGAGATTTTGCTTTTTTTTCCTGCAGGAGTGAGATTCTTTATTATTATTTTTTTAAATTGTTGACTTCTTTCCTCTTCCTAGCCTCCTGATGGTAAGTGGTGAGCCAGAAGACTGATGCCAAGGCATTCTGGCCTGCTATGTGGTGAACGCTCTTTCCATACGGTCTCATTTAATAGAACGCCTATTCTGGCAGTGTCAGATGCTGCAGTAAGGCGTGCTGTTGAGATTCCAGTAAACTGTGCACCATTTTCATGTTGTAAAAACCTGGAATAATAAAATGAGAGATTGTGGCCACCAAAAAATCAAGTTGTAAGTAGATAGATTGTATTAATTAAGAGCTTTAGAGTGGTACAGTGATGACCGGGAGTGGCTCTAATTACAAATGAGGGCATTAACTAGTGATACCAGGTTGTCAGTTTTGGGTCTGTAGTGACAGTCCTAAGTTCCGCCTCAAAGAAGGTTAGGAAGAAAATCTATTTTGCATTCAAATTCGGAAGACAGTGTGATGGTGTGCTGTGAATAAATTCATTTATGGATGTGGATTTTTAAAAAGTTACCTGTTTTAATTTATCTGAGGTATAGAACAAATGCTTTTTGCACTAAAGTTCAAATTAACGTGTGTTTTATACGGTTATTTTTTACTATGTAGTATTAATGCCCTGTGTAATATTTTTGAAGTAGGGAATGAATAGGTGTACTCTTGTGATAGCATTTTCATGTACTCGATTGCTTAATCCTAACAAAAGCCTCTGCAGAGTCAGACTGTTGAAATCCCTATTAGAACTTTCCAGATGTATGACTTTGGATAAGTCACTTGGTTTCAGACCTTCACTTTCCTTATCAGTAAAATGGGAACAAGAATACATAACTCAGGGTTGTAAGGATTACAGGTAATATGTTTATTAACCCTTGACTCATAATAAATATTGGTAGAAATGGATGTAAATAACCAAGGTCCTGCAGAACCCAGAATTGCCACCAGTATTATACCCTGTTCGTTAACTCTTGACCAGAATGCAGGTAATGCACAGTGTAACTTGCTACCTTCAGTTGTCTGAAGTTTATTTTTATTATGACAGTCTGAAGTGTTTCAGTGCCATGTTGGAACACTAAACTTACTAGAGCATTGTAAGTGACATTCAGGCGGCAAAAGCTCTGCTAGCGTCTCAGTGCAGTTAGGGGAGCAATGCAGATGAAGCAAGAGTAACCCTAAGCTTGGACACCATAACTGGAGGAATAGCAGTTGTGCATACATACAGCTGTTAGGAAAGCCATATAAATAAAATCTAGCCAGATCTCCATCATACTTTGTCATCACCTCTTCCCCCAAATTGCCTGTTGCTGTTTATTTTAAATGGACTTAAGAGAGGGTCTTTTATTCAGTGGAACTCACTGTTAGTCTTGACTACCTGCTGTGAAGATTTAAGTAGTTTACTGGCTTTGTACATATCAAAAAATGTTAAAATTAATGGAGGCAAATTAATATGACTGTTTTGGTGCTCATTCCAGGATTTAAGCCCTAAAGACTAGTTGAGTGCAAAAACTGTGAAATAAACCTCTGTAGTGCATATGGCCCCTCAAAGTGAATTGTCAATCTTTCAAGCAGTGTCTTGACTGCTTTATTACTTCTGCTGTTCCTTGACATGTTCTGTGCTCCTACCACATCTGTAAGTGTGGTTTGTGTCCTGAAAATACGATACACAAAAACCGACGTGAAAACAGATGCCTGATTTCTGTTGTTGAAAATGTGAACTCATTTGGAATTCAACTATTTTTCTTCTCTTGCCTCTTCTCTGTTGCATTCAGGAAGTAGACTTTATGAGATGGGAAACATGTATAAACAGTAAGCCTGTTCTCCAAGCCTGCTGTGTAGACATTGGACTGAGTTCTTATCTACCTGTAAATAGTCGAGTTTAATTGGGGGAAGAGTGGAAAGGGAAGAATAATTATGGAATGGGGGGAGGGCATAAACCCTTATTAACATAGATTAGGCACAAGGCACCTGGTAACAATTCTCATCCTAGGTGAGTTTTATCAGCTGGCTTTGTCAAACAAGGACAGATGTGAAGGGTCAAGTGTTGAGGTAACACAGCAGGTGGTTAAGCCAGGTTGAGTGGTTAGCCCTTAACAATGTATCCTGTGCCAGGATACATTGGTGTAGACACAGCAGTGGTTTTTAGTAGCAAAAGGAAAATAAGTGCTCTCCTACTGCCTGGCAACAGTGAAGACACGGTATATAGTCTTTTACCTTAAGTTAGTATGTATGTAGCATTCCTTAAGCTAGTACTGACGTCTAGCTGATTGTGAATTCCTAGAGCAGTAGGAGGAGCCTGGATGTCAAACTAGGGGTTCTGGTTTGGCTGCTGACTATTTTAGTAATCTGGGGTGAAAATTACATGTGAAAATTTTATGAGATAATCTGAAATATTCTTGAATTTAAAGTGATTATAGCAATTATGGTTACATAATTGAAAAATACATTATTTTAAGTTACTGGTACTGAAATTTGTGATAGCAAGAATCTAGGCATTTTATTGTCAATACTAGGTTAGATTAGATTGGGGCTGTACTGGAAATTCGTTTGATTCAGCAAATGACTACTAGATATCCATCCCCCACCTCCCAAGAAAAAAAGCAGTTAAAATGCTGAGTTAAGGAATTGCCTCTAAAAGGATAATTACATGGGGTGTTGTGATGATTCAAAGGTAAATTACTGGTCTTTTCTCTCAAGGAAAATGACAAAAGGCAGTATGGTAGTGCCACCAGACAAATTAACAAAGGGCACTGGGTCTTACTAGGAAGGAGAGTTCCAGGTTGGGAGATGTGGTCATTGTTTGTAGTTTGTGTTTGAGTTGGCCCTTGGAGGGTGGAAAGGTTGCGACAAGTGGAGGGGGCAGAGGTAGGACACTGCAGCAAAATTCTAGCCAAGAGCAATCATAGACAGTGGGAGTCACGGGGCCATAATTCTCAACCCTTTCTTATTGCCTCTAGTTTTCCTAAGGAATAGCATGAAATTGTCTAAAGACTGTAAATATTATTTGTGTATGAATGAGTATTAGGATTTGGATCTGCCTCCTAGGATAAGAAGTGTGCTTGTATGGTGGGAATCAGTTGGTTTAATGTTATTAAAGAAACAAATCTATCACAGGGACTTGGTGAAAATATAGGCCAGCTAATTGACTGGTTTGGCCAGACGGGCAGAAGGCGGTGGATAGTGCACACATTACTTGAGCCTGATGTGAAAACCTCTTTGAAAAGCATGTGCCCTGCTGGTGATGGAGGAGTCTTAGAGGTATTAATGAATGAAAGTGTTTTCCCTTGAAGGTGTCATAGGACTTGTTAAAGTAAATTTAAATAAACTATAATTTACTCCAGTAAACAATGTGAGACTAAAAATTTGTTAATAGCAAAACAAACATCTATAACTGCAATATATAATGTTAGGATGTGTAAAAAGTTCAGGCTTGCCACTCTGAATTCTGCGTGCCTGTTTTGCAGAATCGCTTAATTGCAGCCCAAATGGAGAAATACTACTTTCCCTAAATTTGTACTTCATAAAAGAAATGATCACAGTTTAATGAACTTCAGTTAGGCATTAGGGTAGGAGGAAGTAGAGCTTAATGTTTAATCTTAAAATGTTATTTTAGCTCATTGTCTTTTCAGAAATACTTCTTCTCCTGTCATTCATTTTCCTCTCTACTTTGGATCTGGGTCCCAAGAATAAAGACAAAATGGAAAAACAGTACTTGAAAAATCTACATAGGTTAATTAGTTCTTGAGTAGCTAGTTTTTTAAAGTAGTATTTTTGTGCTGAAAATAACCCTAAAATTTTAATTGCTGGCTTTATTCCACCACTGATAGATATCTGATGATTCATTATAACTCTTTTATATTTTGCTGTTATGAAATAAATGAGGTCCTTTTTACTTGTAGCAGTCTTAAGGGGTAGATTGCCCAAAACTGCCATTTCTTTAGCTTTAGAAATGGTATTGGATTATCATATTCTTAAAAAGATAAGTATCTTGTTTATTTCAAATATTATAAAATACTCAGGACTTGTCAAATTGCGTGGATTACCTTGTAAAAGGAAGTGATTATTTATTTGCAAAGAATTCACTGAGAGCTTAAATTGGTTTGACTGTAAATTGGAGAAGATTCAAAATGAAGAAAGTGAGGGTGAGGGGAGGGTGAGGTGCCATAAGCAGCTCTTTATTATAATCATGTTGTGTGCCATTCATTTTTTGTCCTGACGTTTCTCTCTGGTGGGAACCAGCATTTCATGATTTAGCATGCTAACACTAATAAAAGAAAGCAATTGTAATATCAAATTTTGCAAAAATACATCTTTAATCCTTACTGGCTGGGTTCTCTGGTTGGAAACTGAACCCACTAACTGTAAGTTTTCCATACGGGCTCTCCTCCATCCTCTGGTAATATATTTGCGAAGGTTGTTAAAAAGATTGCTCTGAAAATTTATCCAGAATCTCGTGTAGAGAATTGGGCTCTTCTGAGTTCTTTTGAATGTTTGACAAAGAAAACTTTTGAAACTAAATTTTTGCTTAATTTTTAGTCACTAGATTTCTCTGTAACTTAATGAAAAACCAGTTCATGAAAGGCAGGGGAGACTTTGCTGTTGTTGTAAATGCCAGTTGAATTTTGGTGCTGTGGTTGGGTCGGGTAATCCTATCCAGTCTTATGCAGTACAGACAGTGTGTTTTTGCTAGATTGTAGTGCTTACGCTTGGCTTTGAGGGGATATTTCAAAATCTTTGCCTACTATTGTATGACCCGGGAATTAGGGTAAAAATGTTATAGATATGGAAGTGTGGACATGTTGTGCTTATATTCTTAGCTAATTTGTTTTTAAAAACCAGTTTACTAGGAGTTTGTCCTGTAACATTCCATTCCCTTCCATTCCAGGAATAACCACTGTTTATTTTTAGATTGTTACATAAGGAGTATAAAATCCATTTGCTTTTATTTTGAAACAATATCTACCCAGTAAAGACTCTTTATGGAATTCCAAGTGGCTTTGTTTTAAATGTAAAACTTCAGAAAAATTTGGAATGAGGAGAGTAGAAGAGGGGGGGAAAAAAAACAAATGATCCCAGTGGTTTAGATGCTGTTAGAACCTTGTCATTTTTCGAATATTTTTAAGGTATGTCCCTTCTAGAGACAAAATTTATACTCTGCATTTCTTTGAACCTGCTGGTGTGAAGAATTAATCAGCAGGCATGTACTATAGTATAACTTAAGGCAGTGTGTTAGGTGCTACAGGTAGAGAGATAGATTATTTTTCTTTACCTGCCCCTCATTCTCAGGATCCATATTACAGCTCCATTGTTGGGTTATTCTATTTAAGACTAGTAAATGACTTCCAGGTGCCCTAATAAAATTCACTGGCTTATAACCATAAAATGTTTATTAAGTTGGACCTGGAGTGAATGAGGTTGTATTACTTATTCTAAGAATGGATGTCCATTGATAAGTAACCCTGTAAATCCTGTTACCCCATCAGTAACTGAACGTGTGTGTATTAATCCATATGTAATTTTAAAAATAAAAAATTGTAAGAAAACATGATTCGTCACATAATGTATTTTGTAACAGGCATATAGTGCCTAAGTATATAGTTGTATGATTATTTTTCTGACCAATGTACTGGCTGGCTTTCTCCTAAAATAATTAACCAAAAATAGGCTAAATAAAAGGAATAAAAACTAAAACTAATATAAAGTGGTTTAATATTGTTATTTTTAATATTTCAAAGATCTAACTGCAGCCATGAGCAGCAATGAGTGCTTCAAGTGTGGACGATCTGGCCACTGGGCCCGGGAATGCCCTACTGGTGGAGGCCGTGGTCGTGGGATGAGAAGCCGTGGCAGAGGTGGTTTTACCTCGGATAGAGGTATTTTTGTCGAATAAAAAATTTGGAAGTACTTGAGTATTCATTAGTGTCAAGACTGTTCTAATTCGCCAAATTGTTTTTGTTTCTGCCCAAATTAGGTTTCCAGTTTGTTTCCTCGTCTCTTCCAGACATCTGTTACCGCTGTGGTGAGTCTGGTCATCTTGCCAAGGATTGTGATCTTCAGGAGGATGGTAAGTATTTAACACTTGCTGTCATACCTTCTAGAACTTGGAGAGGTGAGCATGTACTACTGTGCAAAGCATTGGACAAGATTTCCCACCGTTGAGAGGTTTTGTACTGTATCGTTTAAAACAGCATTTTGTAAAGGTTTTATAGTCTTCGTCTGCTTCTTTTCCTTATTGTTGAAGCCTGCTATAACTGCGGTAGAGGTGGCCACATTGCCAAGGACTGCAAGGAGCCCAAGAGAGAGCGAGAGCAGTGCTGCTACAACTGTGGCAAACCAGGCCATCTGGCTCGTGACTGTGACCATGCGGATGAGCAGAAGTGCTATTCTTGTGGAGAATTTGGACATATTCAAAAAGATTGCACCAAAGTGAAGTGCTATAGGTAGGTTGTTAGAATATTGCTGGGAGAAAGCTAACCACAGAGATAGCTTTTAGAAATGACTTGGCTGTAAATGGAAGGACATTGTGAATCAAAACATTTAGTGAAAGTTGGCTGTGACCAGATGAGACAGAGTTTCAGCATACATAAACAGCATCCTGTCTATACATTAGTCAGTATCCTGCTGTGATGGCCTATGGCAACTGAACAGCTTACACAGCTTTGGAATTTTCCATGTCTTAAAAATAAGAATGTTGTGTTACAATTGGAGTTTTTAAAGACTTCCTAGAAAACCGTTAATTCATATTCACGAATCTTGTGTTGTATAACAAGAAATCATTGCCTGTGAATGTGACGTCATAAAAATGTGCACTTTAAATGAGTTACAATATCTTGGCCACTGTTTTGGTTTTGATGTTCTCTTAGGGTGAAATTTGTAATTTATGGCTTACGCTGCACAATTGCATAGCTTTGTTACCTGATTCCTTCCTGCTCCTAGTTTTAGGAGTTAGTAAGACTTACTGTCTGGAGGGGGAAAAGAAACATACTGCTTCACTTAGTGTGTTTTGTTCTGCAATGACTATTAGTAGTTTTTCATTTTCTGAGCACCATTGTGAAAACTATTCTGACTTCTTTTCAGGTGTGGTGAAACCGGCCACGTAGCCATCAACTGCAGCAAGACGAGTGAAGTCAACTGTTACCGCTGTGGCGAGTCAGGGCACCTTGCACGGGAATGCACGATTGAAGCCACAGCTTAATTATTTTCCTTTGTCGCCCCTCCTTTTTCTGATTGATGGTTGTATTATTTTCTCTGAATCCTCTTCACTGGCCAAAGGTTGGCAGATAGAGGCTACTCCCAGGCCAGTGAGCTTTACTTGCCGTGTAAAAGGAGGAAAGGGGTGGAAAAAAATCGACTTTCTGCATTTAACTACAAAAAAAAAGTTTATGTTTAGTTTGGTAGAGGTGTTATGTATAATGCTTTGTTAAAGAACCCCCTTTCCACGCCACTGGTGAATAGGGATTGATGAATGGGAAGAGTTGAGTCAGACCAGTAAACCCGTCTGGGTGTCTTGAATATGTTCCCATGTAGGAGGTAAAATCAACTCTGGAAGTGTCTGTGAGCTTCCATAAATAACTTTAATTTGAGCATAATGATGGCCTTGGATTGTCTGACCTCAGTAGCTATTAAATAACATCAAGTAACATCTGTATCAGGCCCTACATAGAACATACAGTTGAGTGGGAGTAAACAAAATTAAAAAACGTGCGTGTTAATGGCTGTAAGAGAAAAATCAGAATAAAAGCTTAACCAGGAACAACTTCATCACAGCACTGATGCTGGGTATAGATGGTGATGGCAAAGGTTTAGAACGCGTTTTTTGAAAGACTAAATCTAAAACCCAGAGTAAACATCTACGCTTAGAGCTAGCATAATTTGGAGTTATTCAGGAATTGCAGAGAAATGCATTTTCACAGAAATCAAGATGTTATTTTTGTATACTATATCACTTAGACAACTGTGTTTTCATTTGCTGTAATCAGTTTTTAAAAGTCAGATGGAAAAAGCAACTGAAGTCCTAGAAAATAGAAATGTAATTTTAAACTATCCAATAAAGCTGGAGGAGGAAGGGGAGTTTGACTAAAGTTCTTTTTGTTTGTTTCAAATTTTCATGAATGTATATAGTGCAAAACGCCATATTAAAGAGGGGAATGTGGAGGACCGAAAGCTGACAGTTTGGACTTTTCTTTTAACACTGACTCAGTCATGTCTTCAGCAGTGGAAACTATTCCAAGGAAGCATAGGCTTTAGGTAACTTTATTCTCAGTTTTGCAGGGGCACAAGACATTTAATTCTTTCTAATCTATTATAATGTACTGTGTTCATTACCATTATAGTTTTAATACCATTGCTGTGTTTGAGCATACCATGTTTGCCCTGGGCTTCACAAGGATCTGAAATGTTGTATTTCTTGTTTTTTCCCCTAGGATCGGATGGAGTGTTGAGATGACTTCAGAAGTCATGTTGATGAATTCATCTCTGTAGATGAGTTAGTAGAAGCTTAATTTGCTTGAAGGATGTATTTAGAGACTAGACAGGTATCCTTCCAAGCCTAAGCTCTCTGTTCTTTTTTGTGTGTCCAGTAAACTAAATACAGTAACAACATGCTTTCCCGACTAGTCCATTTTTCCCCCTCCACAATGCCATGTGACTTTCCACTTTGGATCTGTTGTGACTTTTTCATCCTCCAGGTAGAGTCTGGTCTGCTTTTGATGATGTATCCCTGGAGTGTTAAGGTCTGTGCTATGCCAGTTCTAACTTCGTCCAATTAATAGTCTGAAGCAGGCAAGAAGGTGAAGTCATGATGTAGATTCATTTCGTTGTGAATACAAGCTTACGTGTTTCTTTTTCATTTGATATTTTTATCGAGCAAATGGTGTGTCTCAGATGTTAAGCAAATTAAATATCTTGGTAATTTTAGGTTGTACCACAAATATGAAATAGCATAAGGGAAGACCTATTTTCAAAGGCATCACTGTTAAATGTAACTAAATTCTGGGATAGTGGGGGTGGTGCACATGGGGTTATGTCTCCCCCATATGTCTGGTTTCTAGGAGGAAAACCAAACAGCAAATAGGAGGTTTAGAACTGCTTGCCTCACACAACCATTCTTTTATAGTACCTAGCACCCTTTTGTCTCAGGACCCTCTGATAACATAATTATTAAGTACCTCGTCACAGCAGATCACAAGGTGTTCTTTTGTAAGATAGCATTTTTTTTTTTAACTCTACTGAGCAAGTGTGTGAAAATTTGTGCTTTACAGGGAAATCAAACTAGGAGCCAATGAGCATTTCACTTCAGAGAGTAACAGTAAGCTTAGTAACATGAATGGTTTTGTCAAAGTGAAGTTTGGGGGTAGGCAACTTCACTTCTGGGAAATGTGTGTTCTTGAATTCTTACAGGAGAGATACAGACTAAGAAGAAACCAATTCCCTGTGTTTCTCTGAGATTCCCATCCCTGCAAGCTAGACAAAAGGTGAAGGGCATCTCTTGAAACAGTGTTAAGGGGGTGGAGAGGTGGACGCACTACAGGGAATTTCGCACTAATGGATAAAGCTTGTCTTCCTTCGTGTCCCTGCTTTTTGGTGCCTTTTTTGCCAGCTTCTAGAATAGTTGTTTCTCAGCCTCTCAAAGCTTCTTTGGTGCCTTAAATGAGTGCATCAGGTGGAGTTCTTACCTAAACTTATTTGAATAATATAATAAAAGCAGTACAGTGATCACATACATATATTTTCCATTCAGATTTAACAGCAAATACTTGTTGCTGAGCCACCTGAAAGAAAAATTGAGGTTTGAACTTCACCCCTGAATGTTCTGGCATGTTTCTTGTAAGAACAGACATTCTCAGGATCACAATTCCATTTCCATACTTTGATATTTCCCTAGTGCCATCTGATAACCTAATACAATGTTCAAATGACCCAGTTGTATCAAAGTTTTCCATAGCTAGGTTTTTCAATCCAACGTCCACCCAGGGTTAATAAATTGCATTTTGTTGATAATCTTTAATCTCTACCAATCTAACAGTTCCATTTCCTCATAACCTTGATTTTTTTTGAAGGGACTAATTTCTTGAATGTCTTACATTTATTGATTTTTTTAGAATCTTCGTGTCATTGTATGTGTTTCCTGGTCTAGAGGCTTCAAGGTTCAGCTTGAACTCATTTTTGCAAGAATATTCTAAGAATATGTAATGTTGCATTACATCAGTTTTACTGTTTATACAGAACTTGATTATTCTAAGGCAGTCATTTTTCCATTGTGATAGGCATTTCCCTTGAAATTTAGCATGTCACTTGGTCCCCTGTATCTTTTCACTTAAGACTGAGTATTTATGATCCTTTCTGTGGATGTTGCTTTGAGTTCATAAACTTGTTACACAATTGATAGGAACGTTGAATATAATTCCACTGGTTGAGCAAAACAGATTCCTCCCTCTCTACAGTAGGTAAGGATTCCTTTCCTCCCCACAGAACTGATAGGCTGTATTACAACCAAAGGTACAGTGATGGAGCTAGTGACACGGTTACATCTGAGGCACCTGTGTGCATTCTGCATTTCAGAAGTCTAGTGCAGTGGTTGCCCAGCAATGTGCACAAAACCGCACTTTGCCTTTATCAGTGGCAGAGGGCTTTGGGAAGGTTGGCTTTTCCAGAAAACATTAGCTTATGCTGTCTAGGACAGGTGCATTTGTAACCTTGTCTACTTGGATAAAGTGCCAGAGACAAAACCCTGAGATTTTTGTTCCGTCAAAGTTACTAGTGTATACTTGTCTTTCCTGTCTCCTAATTCCCTGGTGGCCTTAATATATGTAATATTAGTATTTGTTGAGACAGTCCAAGTTAAACTTAACTCCATTATTTAAAGACTGGTAAAAATTGTAAGTTCTTTGAATAAACACTACTTGTTTGCTGTATGCCACCCGAAGTATTAGGGGCTACTGTTGTGACCCTTCAGTGCTTGCTATGAAAAGCAAACTGCTTTAGCAGTTGAAAAGCATGAACCCTGACAGTCGTGAAGTAGGGGTTAGTAACGTCGTTTACTGAAATCTGAGATGTGAGCATTTAGCTTGACTGTCAGGGTGGGTCTTAAGCATCAGCATTTTATAAGCTTCGAGGTGATTCTAGGGTGCCACTGGTTGTAGACTACTGGGTTAGGTAACCTGGGTTACAGCCCCAGTGGTACAGTTGGAGTTTGAGAACAGATGGGTCCAGTGCTTATGCTCTTAATTACAGTGGTTTATGTGTAATCCTTTTTGCTTGCCTTAGAATTGAAAGCACATTCTTTAAATATTACTGCTTCACATCTATCTGTATCAATCCCCACTACATACCTTGTCAAGAAAGTAAACTGCTATTTATGATACTTTAGTAAATGTTTTGATAGCAAGCTGTCATATTAAGCCCTTATCCTAAGGCAGGCAGCATATGTGTATCTGATAGCAAGAAGCAGATAGTGGTTTCTTAAAAATAGCTGACTTGGTCTATTTTGCACTGATGTTCTGTTCTGTAACTTAAATGTGCTTTCCTTAATGGGCTTGAGGAGACCGAGGCAACTCCATTGAGTAGTGGGTACATTTCAGTTCTGGTAGTTCCCAGTTCTCTTCTCCCTGCTGTTGTGTTTCTCAGCTTTCAGCCTTGCATTTTTCATTATGTTGCAGTATGACCCATGAACCAGGGCTTAGAACCTGACTACTCTTGGTTCCCACACACAGTATTGCTAAGTGACCAGGCTTGAGTAAAAATAGTTTGGTGGCAGACAGGTAATTTGGTGACTTCTCAAGAGTTTTCTACTTCATTGAGGTGGACTTCTTTCATAATAAGCATGGCTGCACTTGTAATCATCCCATCTCATGGCTTTACCTTCACAGGGTAACCATGCTCTTCCCTTAGGTGTGGTTTAAGTGTTAGTTGCAGTCAGCTTACCCTCTTGTGCCCTCAATAACGGTAGCCATTGGAGCAAGGTAATCACAGTGAGGCCTCTGCTTAAAGTGGTCACCTGTGGGGTGGAAGGGAGAGCAGTTCCCAAAAGGAGATGGGGAGCCTGTCGTTCTACCTCTACTATATACTCCCTGGATTGGGCCGGAGACTCGGGCTGGGCACATGAACTGGGTGTTTCTTAGTACTTGATGCTTGCCTGACGTACCTGCTGTTTATGAGGCAGCTTTATATGATCATTGGAGCTTTCAGGAACCTTCTAATAGAGAATGGCTTGGACCTGGATGAATTGGTTAAGACGAGAAGATTCCTGGCTGATTTAGGCCCTCTTAGAGGGATGGGATTGCATTCCGTGCTTCCAGGTGCTATTTTTAATTTGGTAAAGTCAAAAGCTATATTTGTGCAAATGACATGGTCTAACAGGTGAAGCAACACTCATCTCTGGGGTTGACCCATTTGCTTGTCTAATATACTGGGTGGTAGTTGCCACCAAACTATCTGGGTAGTTCAGTGAGCCTGAACAGATAGGGCAGAGGTCAGAGCTTGCAGTCACAGACCCTCTCTTCTGAAAACAAAATTTCAGAGGCAGATTTTTTATTCCTATTTGCAAATAGTACACCTGAACAGAAGCAAGAGCTTACAGGTGTTGACTTGCCAATGTTTGCTGACTGCTGGCAAGTGGAAGAGTCTATTCACTCCAGTGATTTTCATGCCAGTTTTTGGAATTAGATCACAATTCTTCCAGCTGCCAAGTTTACGTCAACTTTCTACAAAATTGCTTCACTAACAAGGTTGCTGAATCAGGTAAACCAAAAACTGTCTTGTTGGAACGAGTATTTTCAAAATGGTAATGTATGGAGAGGACATTTTCCATTTGATTTCATTTTAACTTCTAAAAATATTTTTCATTATGAAAAGTCTTAAGTGAAGTCTATAATACAATGCTTAGCCACCTTCAACAACCAATTTTAGCGTGTCTCCCCACTTTTTGAGGTTTTAAAGCAAATCTCTACCTTCATATAATTTCACTCGTGTTTTTAAAACAACTGCAATATTAATATTTGACAAGATTCAAAATTCTTCAGTAGCATGAAAAACTCAGTCTTTAATTTTCTTCAGTCGATGCAAGAATACTTTTTTCTAACTGGTTTATTTGAATCAAGATCCAAATGCTCTGTATACATAGCATGTCTTGAATCTTAAGTCTGAGACAGTTCCCTATCTTGGAA